CTTAATTTTTACAGAAAGCATACTTTGGATTCGTGTAGGAAATATTGGTGGACGAATATACTATACATTAATACAATATATCCAAAGAGTATTGGTGACACTGTAAGTACCCATCAGGAGCTTCATACATGGTATAGTGATTTCGCAATCTTCAGTATCGTATGCGCAGTGTGCATATATATATATACTTAGTATGAATTCGCATTCAAACATGCTAATTTATCCGTGACGTATCACTCACTGCAAAACATATTATTATTATTAGTATTATTATTTCCAACGTCAATCAACAGGCATCGTTTTTCTTTCCTGTTGTGGAGCACTATATCAGGGCGGTTTGCAGGTATCGTGCGATCTGTCTGCACCGCCCTATCCCACATTATGGTAGTATCTCCGATGTTGGTAACTGGTCTCGGAGTATGTTCATACCACTTGTCAGATACTTGCTCACCAAGTTCACTGCAGATTGACCAGTGTGCTCATTGCAGATTGACCAGTGTGCAGATTGACCGGTGTACTCAGCTTGAAACTAGTGCAATCTATTTTTCTTTTTTTAAGAAAAATGACAACACGCATAACAATTACATCGGTTGTTTATTAAAAAATATGTTAGGAGTTTATGCAACGTTTTTAAGCCATATAACATTCTCAATGGGCCCCACGAATACACTTTGTGCTAAGAGTACTGAATATGCAGAAACTCGCACTTCAGTATTATTGTTATTATTATTATTATTATTATTATTATTCGTGGACTTGCCTTCATGACTGTCACGAGCAGCATTTACGGTTGCTCGACATTTCTTTCTTACTTCCATTACCTTAGTGCAAAATAAATATCTATTTTTCTCTTTTTAAGAAAAATGACAACACGCATAACAATTACATCGGTTGTTTATTAAAAAATATGTTAGCAGTTTATGCAACATTTTCAAGCCATATAACATTCTCAATGGGTCCCACGAATACACTTTGTGCTAAGAGTACTGAATATCCAGAAACTCGCACTTCAGTTTTATTCACCTTTCGCTAACATGGTAAGTAAAATATTCCATGAATCATATTTACTTGAACATATCTAAAACAATCAAACAAACAAACAATTCTTCTTGATGTTACACTTGTTGCGTTTATTACAGTGCATGGGCTGGACGTGGTACTTGTCTGATGACACCATCTTTCACTGGATCAGTCCGCTAATTATTCTGCCGCTATACTGGTACGTTGCTGCGACCAAATCGCCTAGACTATTATATAATGATATTGATATTGATATCGATATTGACATTCTTATATACTACCTTACTTTGTATTACACATCAAGTCTGTGCTGTTTCGAACTTTCGAAAATAACTTTTTTAAGGAAACCAATTGTGGGTCTTGTTTGGACTGGGATTCTGACTGCGGGAGGATTAGCAATAAGATTCGGAATTGCTTATACGAAGGATATCGCCTACTCCGATCATATGACAGTGTAAGTTTATTCAGAATCTTCTAGGAAAATTTTTGTCTAAATGTTAGAAACAATTAGTCGAAGACAATATCATATACATCAATACTATATCTATCAATGTTATATTTTTGATGGTACGTTATTTTAGTTTATTAAAATACGTTTACACACAGAATTTGAATCAAAATGGGTTATTCAAGTTAGCATACCCCCCCCACACACATATATATAGATATATATATAGGTTCAAGATAATACATATAAAAATTAAAACAATTACTGCTTTATATTTATACTAGCAGGATACTCGGCGTTGCCCGGGAA